CACCTCCTCTCTCTCTCTGTCTCCTCCTTCTCGTCTCTCACATGACAGAAGAACAAAGGAACAGACAAGAATTTAGTCTTTTATGCACTCACTGGGTTATTTCAACCATACAATACCTTTTTAGACATACCTATGTTTACACTCGCGCTAAGAAATAAGCAAACAGCTTAACTCAGGAATATTATAAATAGCTCAATAACATTTTATTTTATTTATTTATTTAATTATTTTTATTTTTAATCCGTCAACATATCTCTCATTTATAAATTCAATAGATCTCAATCAAATAGTTTCATCGTTAAGCAACAGCCGATTTAACAAACAGAATACTTTATTCGTGTGTAAGTCTCCCCCTCCTCTGTCTGCATGTCACAGCAGCTCAGTGCAGGCAGGGGAGTGGCATATTTGCTCTACGTAACTCTAAACTCATAAAATCCCACGCATGCGTAGTTCATTCACCAATGCGATTTCAGAGTGAGAAGAGCTCCCAAGCAGCTCTCTCCAAGCTAAACAACAGAAACTAGACAGACCAGCTGTCCCTCCGTTATTTCCAACACAGACAAACAGTAACACTTAACAAAACTCCCAAACCAACACAGAACATAGAACACAAATCCTACTTCAAAGTTTCTTATCTTTACTTATCCTAATCTGCAGATGTATAGTTATTTTCTTATCCATTACAAAACATCTCTATACACTCTTAAAATCCTCCCTGTAGGCTCCTATTCTTTTAACAGTTATTAAACGTTCTCTTTTTATAGAGACTCATAAGATTTTAACCTTAACTTCCTCCCAGGGGGCTCATAGTTTTTTTAAACAATTATTAACGTTCTCGCTAATGGAGACTCATAACATTTTAACCTTAACTAACATATTTCCTTACAAAAAAACTAAAACCCCTGTTCTCAACCAAAACATATATACGTATATATCTCTAACATAAATCTTATCATACCATGAGTCGACACACAGCTGAAGCACAACATTATTTATTATTTTCTTCCCCCCCACACACACACACAATTCAAGAGGAATGCATCCGTTCCTACGGTCCTCTAAAGCATGCTACCGTCGTTCCCTTATTTTTCATAGTTCCTTCCTACATTTCTGCTACCTCGAGTTTGCAGATATTCAATGAGAGGTTACATCGAACATATACCTCGTCAACTATATGTCGAGGGGTAACTTACAAATGAATGTATCTACCACAAAATCAACCTAGTGAGTTTTCAGGATTTTCGGCCCATCCTAATGATCGCCTCGTTTGAGGGCTTCCGTAGATCAACGACGTCCTAATTAGTATACATTTTTCCTTAGTTCCTGGCCTTATTCCTTCATTCTATTATTTTTCAATTTTATTCAAGCCAAATATCCCTGTGCCCAGTGTTATTAATTCCTATAGACACTCCCCCGTTTGCGTTGTTTTCAACGCAAACAAATTTTGAAATTTAGAACGGATTCTCATCACACAGCAAATAACAGCAAATCGCACACGCAAGTTCTTAACGGTGCAGTCATTCAACGCACACACACGGACACACGAACTGACCAACCCTAACCCTAACCCCTAACCCCTAACCCTAACCCCTAACCCCTAACACACACACGGACACACGAACTGACCAGTGCCCAAAGTGGTGAGAAAACTCACCCATATCTGCCGGACTCTGGAGCGAGAGTCAGCCCGGCGCCCATGATGCAACGTTGAAACAGACGCAACACGTCCAAAATACCTCGTCGCCATTAAAGTAGTGTCGAGATAACGATGCTAATTATGCTGTGATGACAAGAAATCCGCTGAAACTGTCCTTGATTATAATGGTTTATTACATCAAAGATTTCAGCGTCAATTTACAGACTCCTGCAGACATCTGGAGAACAACTGACCCAATCTCTAATATGTTATATTCTCCCCGTCCTTTGTTCCAACCATGGTATTTATAATATGTAACATAATATGGGTGGTTCTCCTACAGACCAATCCCTGGCCTTCACATAACAGACTTCCTCTGTTTTAGGGGGCCCCTATAGTAATGCTTTCCAGATGCTTCCGCAAGCTGAGTCAACTTCCTCTAACACACCATTTGCAAACGTCAGCAAAGTCATAAACTGTTTAGATACTACACTCTTATCCATAATAATCTCATCATGTAGACTAGCCTACCCGCACTGTATATGAAAGCTGTTGGCTAGAGCGCAGGTGCCAAGACCAGAGTAGGCACGTTGCTATTTAACGCAACTGTTTTTGTGACAAAACTATCCGTAGAGTTGAAAATGCGATGGAAACACATAGAATTTTAGATTTTTATTCGGTACATGAAAACGTAAGCGAAAAAGTACATTTTGTGTGCGCTATGTCACCACGTACTGATTGTTTAAATCCGCAACAAATTCACATATTTACATGCCAAACTGTCGCCAATTGGATGGAAACTTTGCTTATGAAATACGTTTTTTTCATGTTTTAAATACATGTTTTTGTGGCTAAACTTGACAATATTATATATTTTTCTACCCACTCAACTTTTGACTTGCTTCAACAGAGGCTGAGCACAACACTAAATAATATAAAGATGTATGATATGCATACAGGACTGTAATCATTATTAGTCAACCGGACTGTAATCATTATTAATCAACAGGACTGTAATCGTTATCGGTCAACAGGGCTGTAATCATAATCGGTCAACAGGACTGTAGTCATTATTCAGTCAACAGGACTGTAATCATTATTCAGTCAACAGGACTGTAGTCAATATCAGTCAACAGGACTGTAATCATTATTTAGTCCTGTATAGCCTCAATCTGAAAGTCATATAAAATATGACTTTAGAATTATTAATTGGTTGGTTGTCAATTATAAAACTATTTAAAACTGAAATAACAGTCTAATAAAAGTTGTAATATTTGTAATAGACTACATACAGTACTTTGTCTGTTGGATAAATTTAAACAATAATGTTCCATACTCACACATGTTTGAAAGCAGCAATAAGTAGGCCTATATCCATCAATCTGGAGCAGCAATAGACTAAATCAATTATCCCGATTTATCCAATTAGTGAAATCATGGCTGGCAGTTTTGAAAAACAGCTATCAGAAACGTTCCTATCCTGTGCAAAAATATTATCGCATAACCAACGAGGTGAACAGCATTATACCACAGTACCGTCTGTCCTGTTCCTGCTTCACTGACGTGACACGGCTGGACAATTGACGTTTGTTTATCGCTTGAGGCTACGGGTTGTATCGGTTTACCCGCAGTGACTTCACTAATAACTAGGTAGCCTACTTAAATGAGACGTTTCTGCATTTAAAAAAATGAATGTAATTATTTGCCTTAATGGAAAATTGAGCTACAAAATGGCTATGGTTTGGCCTGCAATATCTTCATTAAGTTAAAGCAGCAAAATACCAGAATGGCTTATGAAATGTTTTTGTTAAAGAAGATACTTTCACATTTTATTTGAAATGAATAACTCTTCTCAGTCTTATATAATTGTTCACAGCTAAGCCTAAATGTCATTTTAATATCTTAAATAAAAGATAAAATATGAAAACAGTAACAGTCTGTTTTCATCTCATTGTAGACAGTGGGGAGAACAAGTATTTGATACACTGCCGATTTTGCAGGTTTTCCTACTTACAAAGCATGTAGAGGTCTGTAATTTTTATCATAGGTACACTTCAACTGTGAGAGACTGAATCTAAAACAAAAATCCAGAAATTCACATTGTATGATTTTTAAGTAATTAATTTGAATTGGGCTACAGGACAATAGGCAAGCAGCTTGGTGAGAAGGCAACAACTGTTGGCGTAATTATTAGAAAATGGAAGAAGTTCAAGATGACGGTCAATCACCCTCGGCCTGGTGCTCCATGCAAGATCTCACCTCGTGGGGCATCAATGATCATGAGGAAGGTGAGGGATCAGCCCAGAACTACACGGCAGGACCTGGTCAATGACCTGAAGAGAGCTGGGACCACAGTCTCAAAGAAAACCATTAGTAACACACTACGCCGTCATGGATTCAAATCCTGCAGCGCACGCAAGGTCCCCCTGCTCAAGCCAGCGCATGTCCAGGCCCGTCTGAAGTTTGCCAATGACCATCTGGATGATCCAGAGGAGGAATGGGAGAAGGTCATGTGGTCTGATGAGACAAAAATAGAGCTTTTTGGTCTAAACTCCACTCGCCGTGTTTGGAGGAAGAAGAAGGATGAGTACAACCCCAAGAACACCATCCCAACCGTAAAGCATGGAGGTGGAAATTTCATTCTTAGGGGATGCTTTTCTGCAAAGGGGACAGGACGACTGCACCGTATTGAGGGGAGGATGGATGGGGCCATGTATCGCGAGATCTTGGCCAACAACCTCCTTCCCTCAGTAAGAGCATTGAAGATGGGTCGTGGCTGGGTCTTCCAGCATGACAACGACCCGAAACACACAGCCAGGGCAACTAAGGAGTGGCTCCGTAAGAAGCATCTCAAGGTCCTGGAGTGGCCTAGCCAGTCTCCAGACCTGAACCCAATAGACAATCTTTGGAGGGAGCTGAAAGTCCGTATTGCCCAGCGACAGCCCCGAAACCTGAAGGATCTGGAGAAGGTCTGTATGGAGGAGTGGCCCAAAATCCCTGCTGCAGTGTGTGCAAACCTGGTCAAGACCTACAGGAAACGTATGATCTCTGTAATTGCAAACAAAGGTTTCTGTACCAAATATTAAGTTCTGCTTTTCTGATGTATCAAATACTTATGTCATGCAATAAAATGCAAATTAATTACTTAAAAATCATACAATGTGATTTTCTGGATTTTTGTTTTAGATTCCGTCTCTCACAGTTGAAGTGTACCTATGATAAAAAATTACAGACCTCTACATGCTTTGTAAGTAGGAAAACCTGCAAAATCAGCAGTGTATCAAATACTTGTTCTCCCCACTGTATCTTATACAGTATATTACGCAGGCAACTTTCCTTTCATACTAAACATAAAGTGCTGTTGACATAATCAGTATAACATCTAGTTCAACAACAAAAGGCACGTTTGTTACATTACAAAACAGTTGTACTCCTTTAGGAAATGCCTAGGAATAATACAAATGCATGGTACTCAGTCTTTCATTGAGGTTAGGATCCATTTGCAACAGTGGAACAGAGATGAAATGCATAGCACACAATATGAAATAAAAACAACCTGCAATATACAGGTTTACTGGCATCATAAACATCTCTAAATTGATTAATGGTTCATAACCATTGTTTGAATAACAGTTAAATACTTGTGATTTAAAAATTAACTATTGCAATTTTGCTATGTTTATGACTGACACTGAGCCATAACTGTTGCTCCAGCACTACAAGTCTAAATCAGGGTCCAAGACGGTGGAGCCACACGTACAGTTTCCCCACATCAGCCTCACCGCAGGAACCTCTGCAAGAAACACAAGGCACAAAATGGCTCCCATCATCACTATTCACAAACAGAACAACAAAGAATATGACAATCAACAGTGACGCAGCAAATTACAAAGAGAGATAAGTACAGACGTCAACAAACAGAGGTACAGGAGGACCCAAAACAAAAGGCCTTATTTAGTGAAGGAGAATGATGCATGCTGGGTAATTAAAGGGGGCTGTAGATCCTGTAGCTAGTGTTGTGTGGTTAGATTTCCTCAACAGAGACAAAGCCATTATTGTGTTAAGAGCACAAGGGTTATGTCCACAATGTCACCCTATTCCCTATATAATGCACTACATTTGAGCAGAGCTCTATGGGCCCTGGCCAAAATGGGCCCTGGCCAAAAGTGCACTGTGTAGGGAATAGGGTGACATTGGGGACGGACACCAGTCTTTGGAGCTGTGGGAGTTAAGAGAGGGAACGTTCACATAATGCATCTTGCCATCTCTGTGAAAATGTACTTTTCAGGATGGATTCACGAGACAAAATAGAAGCACTTAGTTAGCAATTTAGACACACAAATAGCTAATTGAATAACAACAGCTGGGTTTCTTTTTTGAGATAATAATTTAATCGTATTAATAAACTCAACTGTTTTCATTTGAAAACAGAACCGTTGACAACATAAACTACGTATGCTAGAAAAACACTCTATTCAGCCAACAAGCTACAGTAGGAGTCTGTTAGAGTGACACACAATAAACTGCTATGGCTTCATCCTGAATGCACCCTATTAGCTATATAGTGCATACAAGTAGTGCACTAAATAGGGAACAGTGTGCCATTTGGGATGCAGTATATATCTCCCTCTCTTCCTTCTAGTTATTAAACCAGTCATGGCTCGAGACACTCCAGTCCCTCCCTGCCCAGGCACAGGCCACTATGGTATTTCAGTAGGAGGGGTTGAAGTGACCAGCAGAGCTAAGACAGGGATCTATTGTGGTGATCTCAACTGTAGACAGGGATCTATTGTGGTGATCTCAACTGTTTCGTAGTAGCTACTTATGGGATGTGTCCCAAATGGCACCCTATTCCCTATATAGTGCACTACTTTAGACTAGGGCCTGGTCAAACGTAGCACACTATATAGGGAATAGGATGCCATTGGCGCTCTAAACAATTGATTAAAAGCTATAGCAGGAAGGCCTGTTAGCTAACTCAGTCTGGTCTATCTATCTGACCTGTACTATGATCTATCTATCTGACCTGTACTATGATCTATCTATCTGACCTGTACTATGATCTATCTATCTGACCTGTACTATGATCTATCTATCTGACCTGTACTATGATCTATCTATCTGACCTGTACTATGATCTATCTATCTGACCTGTACTATGATCTATCTATCTGACCTGTACTATGATCTATCTATCTGACCTGTACTATGATCTATCTATCTGACCCTGTACTATGATCTATCTATCTGACCTGTACTATGATCTATCTATCTGACCTGTACTATGTAGTACTATGATCTATCTATCTGACCTTTACTATGATCTATCTATCTGACCTGTACTATGATCTATCTATCTGACCTGTACTATGATCTATCTATCTGACCTGTACTATGATCTATCTATCTGACCTGTACTATGATTATCTATCTGACCGTACTATGGTCTATCTATCGACCTGTACTATGATCTATCTATCTGACCTGTACTATGATCTATCTATATGACCTGTACTATGATCTATCTATCTGACCTGTACTATGATCTATCTATCTGACCTGTACTATGATCTATCTATCTGACCTGTACTATGATCTATCTATCTGACCTGTACTATGATCTATCTATCTGACCTGTACTATGATCTATCTATCTGACCTGTACTATGATCTATCTATCTGACTGTACTAGATCTATCTATCTGACCTGTACTATGATCTATCTATCTGACCTGTACTATGGTCTATCTATCTGACCTGTACTATGGTCTATCTATCTGACCTGTACTATGATCTATCTATCTGACCTGTACTATGATCTATCTATCTGACCTGTACTATGATCTATCTATCTGACCTGTACTATGATCTATCTATCTGACCTGTACTATGATCTATCTATCTGACCTGTACTATGGTCTATCTATCTGACCTGTACTATGGTCTATCTATCTGACCTGTACTATGATCTATCTATCTGACCTGTACTATGATCTATCTATCTGACCTGTACTATGATCTATCTATCTGACCTGTACTATGATCTATCTATCTGACCTGTACTATGGTCTATCTATCTGACCTGTACTATGATCTATCTATCTGACCTGTACTATGATCTATCTATCTGACCTGTACTATGATCTATCTATCTGACCTGTACTATGATCTATCTATCTTACCTGTACTATGAAGGCAGCCAGGGCAGAGAACAGGGCCAGTAGTACCATGGGTCTGAGCCTGCCCAGGTTAACCCGCTTCAGGAGGAAGAAGCGTGCCCAGCCCAGCTTCTTAGCCGTGTGGGGCGGGTAACGCATGGCGTTCGCACCCTCCATGTTGAGCTTCTTAATGAGGCAGGCACGCAGGTGGCTGAGCTGGTCAAAGCCGTGCTGGCCGTGGTAGCGCCCCATGCCACTGTTACCTTGGGGAAGGGAGAGGAGGGACAGTGGGGGGAAAATTCAATATATTTGTTATTGTGAGTAATCATGTCAGGTCAGGAACTAACAAGGGTGTTATTAAGACACACACAGAACACACATCATATCAGTATTGTGTGTGTGTGTGTGTGTGTGTGTGTGTGTGTGTGTGTGTGCGCGTGTGTGTGTCTGTATTAGTCTTAACTTACCCACCCCTCCGAAGGGGAGAGCGTTGACAGTGAAGTGGACCAGACAGTCATTGGCCACCAGGGCCCCACTAGAGGTCTCTGCTATCACCCTCCTAATCAACTAGAGGTGGAGGGGGGGAGGGAGGGAGGGAGGGGGGGGAGGGAGGGAGGGAGGGAGGGAGGGAGGGAGGGGGAGGGAGGGAGGGAGGGAGGGAGGGAGGGAGGGAGGGAGGGAGGGAGGGAGGGAGGGGGGAGGGAGGGGGGAGGGGGAGGGAGGGAGGGGGGGAGGGAGGGAGGGGGGAGGGAGGGAGGGAGGGAGGGAGGGAGGGGGAGAGGGAGGGAGGGAGGGAGGGAGGGGGAGAGGGAGGGAGGGAGGGAGGGAGGGGGAGGGAGGGGGAGAGGGAGGGAGGGAGGGAGGGGGAGGGAGGGGAGGGAGGGAGGGAGGGAGGGAGGGAGGGAGGGAGGGAGGGAGGGAGGGGGAGGGAGGGAGGGAGGGAGGGAGGGAGGGAGGGAGAGAGAGAGAGAGAGAGAGAGAGAGGCATACCAATTAGGATCTGGCTAAAAATACTTGAATCAGTTATAGAACCCATTGCCCTTTATGGTTCTGAGGTCTGGGGTCCGCTCACCAACCAATAATTCACAAAATGGGACAAACACCAAATTGCAGAATTCTGCAAAAACATCCTCTGTGTACAACGTAAAACACCAAATAATGCATGCAGAGCAGAATTAGGCCAATACCCGCTAATTATCAAAATCCAGAAAAGAGCCGTTAATTTCTATAACCACTTAAAAGGAAGCGATTCCCAAACCTTCCATAACAAAGCCATCACCTACAGAGAGATGAACTTGGAGAAGAGTCCCCTAAGTAAGCTTGTCCTGGGGCTCTGTTCACAAACACAAAAAGACCCCACACAGCCCCAGGACAACAACAACAACAACACAACTAGACCCAACCAAATCATGAGAAAACAAAAAGAGAATTACTTGACACATTGGAAAGAACAAACAAAAAAACAGAGCAAACTAGAATGCTATTTGGCCCTAAACAGAGAGTACACAGTGGCAGAATACTTGACCACTGTGACTGACCCAAACTTAAGGAAAGCTTTGACTATGTACAGACTCAGTGAGCATAGCCTTGCTATTGAGAAAGGCCGCCGTAGGCAGACCTGGCTCTCAAGAGAAGACAGGCTATGTGCACACTGCCCACAAAATGAGGTGGAAACTGAGCTGCACTTCCTAACCTCCTGCCAAATGTATGACCATATTAGAGACACATATTTCCCTCAGATTACAGCGATCCACAAAGAATTCGAAAACAAACCCAATTTTGATAAACTCCCTTATCTACTGGGTGAAAAACCACAGTGTGCCATCACAGCTGCAAGATTTGTGACCTGTTGCCACAAGAAAAGGGCAACCAGTGAAGAACAAACACCATTGTAAATACAACCCATATTTATTTTTATTTATTTTCCCATTTGTACTTTAACTATTTGCACATTGTTACAACACTGTATATATACATAATATGACATTTGAAATGTCTTTATTCTTTTGAAACTTCTGAGTGTAATGTTTACTGTTAATATTTATTGTTTATTTCACTTTTGTTTACTATCTACTTCACTTGCTTTGGCAATGTTAACACACGTTTCCCATGCCAATAAAGCCCTTAAATTGAATTGAAATTGAATTGAGAGAGAGAGAGAGAGAGAGAGAAAGAGAGATGGAAAAACACTAACTTAGTATTTGACCTACAGTACCAGTCAAAAGTTTGGACACTATTTTAGAATAATAGTGAAGACATCAAAACCATGAAATAACACATATGGAATCATGTAGTCACCAAAAAAGTGTTAAACAAATCAAAATATATTATATATTTGAGATTCTTCAAATAGCCACCCTTTACCTTGATGACAGCTTTGCACACTCTTGGCATTCTCTCAACCAGCTTCACCTGGAATGCTTTTCCAACAGTCTTGAAGGAGTTCCCACATATGCTGAGCACTTGTTGGCTGCTTTTCCTTCACACCATCTCAATTGGGTTGAGGTCAGGGGATTGTGGAGGCCAGGTCATCTGATGCAGCACTCCATCACTCTCATTCTTGGTAAAATAGCCCTTACACAGCCTGGAGGTGTGTTGGGTCATTGTCCTGTTGAAAAACAAATGACAGTCCCACTAAGCCCAAACCAGATGGGATGGCGTATCGCTGCAGAATGCTTTGGTAGCCATGCTGGTTAAGTGGGCCTTGAATTCTAAATAGATCACAGACAGTGTCACCAGCAAAGCACCCCCACACCATAACAACTCCTCCTCCATGCTTCACGGTGGGAACTACACGTGCGGACATCATCCGTTCACCCACACCGTGTCTCACAAAGACACAGCGGTTTGAACCAAAAATCTCAAATTTGGACTCCAGACCAAAGCATACATTTCCACCGGTCTAATGTCCATTGCTCGTGTTTCTTGGTCCAAGCAGGTCTCTTCTTAATATTGGTGTCCTTTAGTAGTGGTTTCTTTGCAGCAATTCGACCATGAAGGCCTGATTCACACAGTCCCCTCTGAATAGTTGATGTTGAGATGTGTCTGTTATTTGAACTGTGAATCATTTATTTGGGCTGAAATTTCTGAGGCTGGTAACGCTAATGAACATATCCTCTGCAGCAGAGGTAACTCTGGGTCTTCCTTTCCTGTGGAGGTCCTCATGAGAGCCAGTTTCATCATAACGCTTGATTGTTTTTGCGACGGCACTTGAAGAAACGTTCAAAGTTCTTGAAATGTTCCGTATTGACTGTCTTAAAGTAATGATGGACTGTCGTTTCTCTTTGCTTATTTGAGCTGTTCTTGCCATAATATGGACTTGGTATTTTACCAAATAGGGCTATCTTCTGTATACCCCACCTACCTTGTCACAACACAACTGATTGGCTCAAATGCATTAAGAAGGAAAGAAATTCCACAAATTAACTTTTAAGAAGGCACACCTGTAAATTGAAATGCATTCCAGGTGACTACCTCATGAAGCTGGTTGAGAGAATGCCAAGAGCGTGCAAAGCTGTCATCAAGGCAAACGGTGGTTATTTGAAGAATGAAATATAAAATATATTTTGATTTGCTTAACACTTTTTTTGGTTACTACATGATTCCATATGTGTTATTTCATAGTTTTGATGTCTTCACTATTATTCTACAATGTAAAAAATATTAAAAATAAAGAAAAACCCTTGAATGAGCAGGTGTGTCCAAACTGTTTGACTGGTTGTGTAGGTCATAAGACATATTCATCAATATGGATATCTTTCATTAGTTAAAAACACTGTAAATCTTACAGACTTTAGCTTTAATATCACTTCTACGGTCTTTACCTTGTTGTCAGGTGAGAACACGTAGAGTGCCAGAGGCTTCTCTCTCTCATTGATGAACTGTATCGCCTCGTCCACTCCACTAACAGTGATGATGGGGAGCAGGGGACCAAATATCTCCTCCTGCATCACCTTGGAGCCCCCTGTCACGTCCTTCAGCACCGTGGGGGCTGGACACACACGCACATTGAGAAATAACACAATAACACACACACTGAGTAGACACAAAGGGCAGGTGGGGGGGAAGGGAAGGCTCACGAATACTAGAAACATAAGAAATAACACACCTTCTACCTTCTTGCCCTTTGTGCTGTTGTCTAATGTTATCTAATGTTTGCACCATGTCTTGTGTTGCTGCCATGTTGTGTTGCTACCATGTTGTTTTCATGTTGGGTTGCTACCATGTTGTTTTCATGTCGGGTTGCTACCATGTTGTTTTCATGTCGGGTTGCTACCATGTTGTTTTCATGTTGTGTTGCTACCATGCTGTTTTCATGTTGTGTTGCTACCATGTTGTTTTCATGTCGGGTTGCTACCATGTTGTTTTCATGTTGGGTTGCTACCATGTTGTTTTCATGTTGGGTTCCTACCATGTTGTTTACATGTTGGGTTGCTACCATGTTGTTTTCATGTTGTGTTGCTACCATGCTGTTTTCATGTTGGGTTGCTACCATGTTGTTTTCATGTTGGGTTGCTACCATGTTGTTTTCATGTTGTGTTGCTACTATGTTGTTTTCATGTTGGGTTGCTACCATGTTGTTTTCATGTTGGGTTGCTACCATGTTGTTTTCATGTTGTGTTGCTACCATGCTGTTTTCATGTTGGGTTGCTACCATGTTGTTTTCATGTTGGGTTGCTACCATGTTGTTTTCATGTTGTGTTGCTACCATGCTGTTTTCATGTTGGGTTGCTACCATGTTGTTTTCATGTTGGGTTGCTACCATGTTGTTTTCATGTTGTGTTGCTACCATGCTGTTTTCATGTTGGGTTGCTACCATGTTGTTTTCATGTTGGGTTGCTACCATGTTGTTTTCATGTTGGGTTGCTACCATGTTGTTTTCATGTTGTGTTGCTACCATGCTGTTTTCATGTTGGGTTGCTACCATGTTGTTTTCATGTTGGGTTGCTACCATGTTGTTTTCATGTTGTGTTGCTACCATGTTGTTTTCATGTTGGGTTGCTACCATGTTGTTTTCATGTTGTGTTGCTACCATGTTGTTTTCATGTTGTGTTGCTACCATGCTGTTTTCATGTTGGGTTGCTACCATGTTGTTTTCATGTTGGGTTGCTACCATGTTGTTTTCATGTTGGGTTGCTACCATGCTGTTTTCATGTTGGGTTGCTACCATGTTGTTTTCATGTTGGGTTGCTACCATGTTGTTTTCATGTTGGATTGCTACCATGTTGTTTTCATGTTGGGTTGCTGCCATGCTATGTTGTTGTCTAAGGTCTCTCTTTATGTAGTGTTGTGGTGTCTCTCTTTATGTAGTGTTGTGGCGTCTCTCTTTATGTAGTGTTGTGGTGTCTCTTTATGTAGTGTTGTGGTGTCTCTCTTTATGTAGTGTTGTGGTGTCTCTCTTTATGTAGTGTTGTGGTGTCTCTCTTTATGTAGTGTTGTGGCGTCTCTCTTTATGTAGTGTTGTGGTGTCTCTTTATGTAGTGTTGTGGTGTCTCTTTATGTAGTGTTGTGGTGTCTTTATGTAGTGTTGTGGTGTCTCTCTTTATGTAGTGTTGTGGTGTCTCTATGTAGTGTTGTGGTGTCTCTCTTTATGTAGTGTTGTGGTGTCTCTATGTAGTGTTGTGGTGTCTCTCTTTATGTAGTGTTGTGGTGTCTCTCTTTATGTAGTGTTGTGGTGTCTCTCTTGTTGTGTTTGGTCCTATTTTTATATACATGTATTTTTTTAACGTACCTATATAGCATTGTGATTGGTCGCTGTCTCCTCCGATGGCCACAGTGCTCCCCTCGAACAGTGACATCACCCTCAGGAAGTGGCGCTGGTTAATGATGCGTCCGTAGTCCTCAAAGGTCTTTGGGTCATCCGTATAAAACTCCTAACACCAGCCCGAAGGTAAAATATACAATAGTGAATTACCATTAAAATGCATATACAGTGCCTATTGAAAGTCTAACTTTTTTCACATTCTGCTGTCTTAAAATTCAATATAAAAACACTTTTTTTCCTACAGATCTACACAGCCTACTCCATATTTTCAAAGTGAAAGAAAGTCATAGAAAGTTTTCCAAATTAAGAACACCCCCCCCCCCCCCCACCCCTGAAATATCATAATTGAATAAGTCTCCAATGTTTGGTGGAAGCACCTTTGGCAGCCATTACAGCTGTGAATCATTTTCATTAAGATTCTACATTGCACAACACTTAGAGCAACATTTCCATCGTATTTGTCAAAATTGCTCAGGCTCAGCAAATTTGGTTGGGGATCATTGATAGAAAGCAATATTTAAACCTTGTCTCTGATTTTGAGCCAAGGTTTCATACCCATAACAAGGTCATGTTATGGGTATGCTTGGCTGGGCACAATTGGCCCAGTGTTGTCCGGGATTGGCCGGTGTAGGTCGTCATTGTAAATAAGAATTTGTTCTTAACTGACTTGCCTAGTTAAATAATGGTTAAATAAAAAATAAATGTAAAAAATGCTTGTCATTGGCAGGGACTGGGGAGTTTGTCAGGATGAAAATAAATATGAAAGGAGCAAAGCCCAGGTAAAAAGGTAGAGGAAAACCCACCTCAGTCTTCTGAAAACCTAACCCTGGGATAGAGTTGTATTTTTCTGCGGGACAATTACACAAATGTTTATGCAAAAGAGTGTTGAGTGTTCCTGAGTGGTCTAGTCTTAGTTCTGACTTAAATCTGCTTTAAAAAATCAGACACATGGTAAGGTTTAAATATTGCTGTCAATCAACGATCCCCCACCAAATGTACTGAGCCTGAGCTTCTGACAAAAATTCAGACCCCTTGACTTTTTTCACATTTTGTTACGTTACAGCCTTATTATAAAAATGATTTAAAAAAAATAAAAATCCTCAGCAATCTACACACAACACCCCATAATGACAAAGCGAAAACAGGTTTTTAGACATTTATACAAACTTATAAAAAATGAAAAACAGAAATACCTTATTTACATAAGTATTCAGATCCTTTGCTATGAGACTCGAAATTTAGCTCAGGTGCATCCTGTTTCCATTGATCATGCTTGAGATGTTTCTACAACTTGATTGGAGTCCACCTGTGGTAAATTCAATTGATTGGACTTGATTTGGAAAGGCACACACCTGTCTGTATAAGGTCCCACAGTTGACAGATCTGGGGAAGGTTACCAAAATAATTCTGCAGCATTGAAGGTCCCCAAGAACACAGTGGCCTCGATCATTATTAAATGGAAGAAATTTGGAACCACCAAGACTCTTCCTAGAGCTGGCCGCCCAGCGAATCTGAGCAATCGGGGGGGAGAAGGGCCTTGGTCAGGGAGGTGACCAAGAACCCAATGGTCACTCTGACAGAGCTGTAGAGTTTCTCTTTGGAGATGGAAGAACCTTCCAGAAGGACAACCATCTCTGCAGCACTCCAGCAATCAGGCCTTTATGGTAGAGTGTCCAGACGGAAGCCACTCCCCGCTTGGAGTTTGCCAAAAGGCACCTAAAGGACTCTGACCATGAGAAACAAGATTCTTTGGTCTGATGAAATCAAGATTAAACTCTTTGGCCTGAATGCCAAGCGTCACGTCTGGAGGAAACCTGGCACCATCCCTACGGTGAACCATGGTTGTGGCAGCATCATGCTGTGGGGGTGTTTTTCAGCGGCAGGGACTGGGAGACTAGTCAGGAACTCAGACTGGGGCGACGGTTCACCTTCTAACAGGACAACAACCCTAAGCACACAGCCAAGACAACGCAGGAGTGGCTTCGGGACAAGTCTCTGAATGTCCTTGAGTGGCCCAGCTAGAGCCCAGACTTGAACCCGATCTAACATCTCTGGAGAGACCTGAAAATAGCTGTGCAGCGACGCTCCCTATCCAACCTGACAGAGCTTGAGAGGATCTGCAGAGTAGAATGGGAGAAACTCCCCAAATACAGGTGTGCCAAGCTTGTAGCGTCATACCCAAGAAGACTCAAGGCTGTAATTGCCGCCAAAGGTGCTTCAACAAAGTACTGAGTAAAGGGTCTGAATACTGTGATATTTCTGTTTTAGATTTTTTATAAATTAGCAAAAAATTATACAAACCTGCTTTTGCTTAGTCATTATGGGGTATTGTGTGTAGATTGATGAGGAAAAAAACGGTTTAATCAATTTTAGAATAAGGCTGTAACCTAACAAAATGTGGAAAAAGTCAAGGGGTCTGAATACTTTCCGAAGGCATAAGAGTTGTGAAAAGTTGGTAGAATCTTAATCAAAATTATTCACAGCTTTAATGGCTGCCAAAGGCGCTTCCACCAAGTATTAACTCAGGGGGCTGGATTTATCTAATTATTATACACTGCTCAAAAAATAAAGGGAACACTTAAACAACACAATGTAACTCCAAGTCAATCACACTTCTGTGAAATCAAACTGTCCACTTAGGAAGCAACACTGATTGACAATAAATGTCACATGCTGTTGTGCAAATGGAATAGACAACAGGTGGAAATTATAGGCAATTAGCAAGACACCCCCCAATAAAGGACTGGTTCTGCAGGTGGTGACCACAGACCACTTCTCAGTTCCTATGCTTCCTGGCTGATGTTTTGGTCACTTTTGAATGCTGGCAGTGCTTTCACTCTAGTGGTAGCATGAAACGGAGTCTACAACCCACACAAGTGGCTCAGGTAGTGCAGCTCATCCAGGATGGCACATCAATGCGAGCTGTGGCAAGAAGGTTTGCTGTGTCTGTCAGCGTAGTGTCCAGAGCATGGAGGCGCTACCAGCAGACAGGCCAGTACATCAGGAGACGTGGAGGAGGCCGTAGGAGGGCAACAACCCAGCAGCAGGAACGCTACCTCCGCCTTTGTGCAAGGAGGAGCAGGAGGAGCACTGCCAGAGCCCTGCAAAATGACCTCCAGCAGGCCACAAATGTGCATGTGTCTGCTCAAACGGTCAGAAACAGACTCCATGAGGGTGGTATGAGGGCCAGACGTCCACAGGTGGGGGTTGTGCTTACAGCCCAACACCGTGCAGGACGTTTGGCATTTGCCAGAGAACACCAAGATTGGCAAATTCGCCACTGGCGCCCTGTGCTCTTCACAGATGAAAGCAGGTTCACACTGAGCACATGTGACAGACGTGACAGAGTCTGGAGACGCCGTGGAGAACGTTCTGCTGCCTGCAACATCCTCCAGCATGACCGGTTTGGCGGTGGGTCAGTCATGGTGTGGGGTGGCATTTCTTTGGGGGGCCGCACAGCCCTCCATGTGCTCGTCAGAGGTAGCCTGACTGCCTTTAGGTACCGAGATGAGATCCTCAGACCCCTTGTGAGACCATATGCTGGTGCGGTTGGCCCTGGGTTCCTCCTAATGCAAGACAATGCTAGACCTCATGTGGCTGGAGTGTGTCAGCAGTTCCTGCAAGAGGAAGGCATTGATGCTATGGACTGGCCCGCCCGTTCCCCAGACCTGAATCCAATTGAGCACATCTGGGACATCATGTCTCGCTTTAGTCCAGGTCTGGGAGGAGATCCCTCAGGAGACCATCCGCCACCTCATCAGGAGCATGCCCAGGCGTTGTAGGGAGGTCATACAGGCACGTGGAGGCCACACACACTACTGAGCCTAATTTTGACTTGTTTTAAGGACATTACATCAAAGTTGGATCAGCCTGTAGTGTGGTTTTCCACTTTAATTTTGAGTGTGACTCCAAATCCAGACCTCCATGGGTTGATAAATTTGATTTCCATTGATAATTTTTGTGTGATTTTGTTGTCAGCACATTCAACTATGTAAAGAAAAAAGTATTTAATAAGATTATTTCATTCATTCAGATCTAGGGTGTGTTATTTTATTGTTCCCTTTATTTTTTTGAGCAGTGTATTTCAGTTTTTTTTTTTTTTTTTTTGTGGAAAACCTTCTATAACTTTCTTTCACTTTGAAAATGTGGAGTAGGTTGTGTAGATGTGTTGGAGAAACTAAAAGTTCAAGGGGGTGTAGACTTTCTACAGGCACTGTACTTCTAAGTCAAGAACAGACGTGACATAGATCTTAGTGGATGGTAGCGTTGCTTCATAAAGGTACTGTATGAGTGGTTCTGTGCTAACATACCACTCCTTGTGTGCTGGGTCATATGCCAAACCAATTGTGGAATGTTAAACAGGTCTGGATTCCAGACTACTGTATATGCAGGACCCATTCTGTAATTCTATGCTTATTCAACTAATTCGTATAATCTCTACTGTACATGCAGACTATACCGTGATGCATTTCCTGATCTCTTCCACCACTCTGTCCTGGATGCTGGGTTCACACAGGATGTAGTCTGGAGCGATGCACGTCTGACCACAATTCACAAACTTCCCCCATGTGATACGCCTGTGGAAACACAGAGGCATAATGTGCTTCTCCTCTGAGTAAAGTATGAAACAGTCCTTGAGCTGTTCTCCTCTGAGTAAAGTATGAAACAGTCCTTGAGCTGTTCTCATCTGAGTAAAGTATGAAACAGTCCTTGAGCTATTCTCATCTGAGTAAAGTATGAAACAGTCCTTGAGCTGTTCTCCTCTGAGTAAAGTATGAAACAGTCCTTGAGCTGTTCTCCTCTGAGTAAAGTATGAAACAATCCTTGAGCTGTTCTCATCTGAGTAAAGTATGAAACAGTCCTTGAGCTGTTCTCATCTGAGTAAAGTATGAAACAGTCCTTGAGCTGTTCTCATCTGAGTAAAGTATGAAACAGTCCTTGAGCTGTTCTCATCTGAGTAAAGTATGAAACAGTCCTTGAGCTGTTCTCATCTGAGTAAAGTATGAACCAGTCCTTGAGCTGTTCTCATCTGAGTAAAGTATGAAACAGTCCTTGAGCTGTTCTCCTCTGAGTAAAGTATGAAACAGTCCTTGAGCTGTTGCAGTGATGCTGCCCACAAAATACTATTTCCAAGATTTTGGATGACCAGGGAATGGACAAAATTACACAGATTGAATATCTCTCAAGGAATATGGGGCCAGTCTGCCACTGACCGGCATGCCACGGTGAGGTCGACGTCCTTATCAATGTAACAGGGGCTCTTCCCCCCCAGCTCCAGGGTCACAGGGGTGAGGTGTCGGGCGGCGGCCTCCATCACCAGTTTACCCACAGTGCTGTTCCCTGTGTAGAAGACGTGGTCGAAACGCTGACGCAGCAACTCCTGGGTCTCTGACACGCCCCCACACACTACAGGGTACAGCTCCTGGGGAGGAGGGGGGCAGACATGTAAACACACATGCACATATGCATGCGCACTCACACAAACAAGAACACTTCAGTGCCCTCTCAGCATCAAGAGCAGCCTACGACACAAGAGGGATTGAAGTGAGAAGCCTTCAGAAAGTATTCACACCCCTTGACTTTTTCCACATTTTGTTGTGGTACAGCCTGAATTTATAATGGATTAAATTGAGATTTTGTGTCACTGGCCTACACACAATACCCCATAATGTCAAAGTGGAATTATGTTTTTCTAAATTTCTACTAATTCATTCAAATGAAAAGCTGAAATGTCTTGAGTCAATAAGTATTCAACCCCTTTTGTTATGGCAAGCTTAAATAGGTTCAGGAGTAAAACTTTGCTTAACAAGTCACATAATAAGTTGCATGGACTCACTCTGTGTGCAACAATAGTGTTTAACATGTTTTTTGAATGACTACCTCATCTCTGTACCCCACACATACAATTATCTGTAAAGTCCCACATTCGAGCACTGAATTTCAAACACAGGTTAAACCACAAAGACCAGGGAGGTTTTCCAATACCTCGCAAAGAACGGCACCTATTGGCATGATGAAGTTATTAATTACACTTTGGATGGTGTATCAATACACCAAGTCACTACAAAGATACAGGCGTCCTTCCTAACTCAGTTGCCGGAGAGGAAGGAAACCGCTCTGGGATTTCACCATGAGACCAATGGGGATTTTAAAACAGTTACAGAGCTGAATGGCTGTGATAGGAGAAAACTGAGGATGGATCAACAACATTGTAGTTACTCCACAATACTAAATTAATTGACAGAGTGAAAAGAAGGAAGACTGTTCCAAAAAATGCATCCTGTTTGCTACAAGGCACTAAAGTAATACTGCAAAAAATATGGCAAAGCAATTAACTTTTTGTCCTGAATACAAAGTGTTATGTTTGGGGCAAATCCAATACAACACATTACTCAGTACCACTGTCCATATTTTCAAGCATAGTGGTGGCTGCATCATGTTGTGGGTATGTTTGTAATCGTTAAGGACTGGGGAATTTTTCAGGATAAAAAATAAACTGAATAGAGCTAAGCACAGGCAAAATCCTAGAGGAAAACCTGGTTCAGTCTGCTTTCCACCAGACACTGGGAGATTAATTCACCTTTCAGCAGGACAATAACCTAAAACACAAGGCCAAATATACACTGGAGTTGCTTACCAAGAAGACAGTGAATGTTCCTGAGTGGGCAAGTTACAGTTTTGACTTAAATATATTTGAAAATCTATGGCAGGACCTGAAAATGGTTGTCTAGCAATGATCAACAACCAATTTGACAGAGCTTGAAGTATTCTGAAATTAATAATAGGCAAATGTTGCACTATCCAGGTGTAGAAAGCTCTTAGAGACTAACCTAGAAAGACTGTAATCACTGTTAAAGGTGCTTCTACAAAGTATTGACTCAGGGGTGTGAATACTTATGTAAATGAGATATTTATGTATTTCATTTTCAATACATTTTCTAAAAACATGTTTTCACTTTGTCATTATGGGGTATTGTGTGTAGATAGGTGAGAAAAAAATCATATTTAATCCATTTTGAATTCAGGCTGTAACAACAAAATGTTTCAAGTTTCAATGTCACGTGCACAAGAACAGTGCTGCCTTTCTTGCAAGCTCCAAACCCAACAATGCAGTAATCAATATCAACGTAATACTAAAAATAACAAGGTAGAACAAAAACACAAGAGATATTAAAATAAGATATAAGAACACGATAAAGTAAGTACGCATACTATGTACAGGGTCAGTCAGTTCCAGTCCCATATTAACAATGTGCAGGGATACTGGAGTGATAGAGGTAGATATGTATAGGGGTAAGGGGACAGGGATACTGGAGTGATGGAGGTAGATATGTATAGGGGTAAGGTGACTAGGCATCAGGATATATAATAAACAGAGTAGCAGCAGCGTATGTGATGATTGTATGTGAGTGGGTGTGTGTGCATCTAGAGTCAGTACAAATGTATGTAAATATTATGTGTGTGTGAGCAAATGATGGAGTGAGTGTTTATGTGTGTGTTGGAGTGACAGTGTGTGTGAGTGTGTAGGGAACTGTGAGTGTGCATAGAGACAGCGCAAAATAAAATACAAGGGTCAACTCAGATAGTCCGTGTAGCCATTTTGTTACCTATCTAGCTAGTTATTTAGTAGTCTTATGGCTTGGGGATAGTAGCTATTCAGGAGCATGTTGGTGTCAGACTTGATGCACCGCTTGCCATAAATGTGGAATAAGTCGAGGGGTATGAATACTTTCCGAAGGCGCTGTAAAGGAATAAACATGCATCTGATAGGGATTTGACGTTAGCGAAGTGACCTTGTCCAGGTAGAGAGGGAGCAGATCCTCCATGACCTTGGCTGAATGAGAGCTGACCCGAATAGATAGAGAATTTAGTCAAACTTTAAGTAAGTATTATGGGGTATGTGTGTAGATATGAGAAAATCAACTATTTGAATATGAAACATAAGTTATTCAATGCAGAGAAGGGGAGCACATGATTCTGATGAAATCGGTGCAACAAGAGATTAAAGATAAGAACGATTAAAGAGGAGAAGTCAGGGATAGTTCAGCATTAAGTGAGACGATATGGGATTGAAGGTAGAAGTGAGGAGGTAGAGGGGAGATATGAGGTGGGCAGGATGGTTAAGTAGCAGCAGGGATGTGAGATGGGAGATGGGAGTGGAAGAGGAGTATGAAGATGGGGAAGATGATGGAGGAGGAGGGAGGAGTGGGGGAGGGAGGGATCGGAATAATGGGAAAGAGGGACGTTTAGCAGTTGGTAGAGAGGTGGGAGAGTTGGAGAGGGAGAGATGAGGTGCATGTGGAAAGTCGGGAGGGATGAAGATGGAGGTGAAGGATAATGGATGGATGAGAGGAAGTGATGTCAGGTAGAGAGGGAGCAGACATGGATGAGAGATGAGAGGATGAGCAAGAGATGGAGGATGGAAGAGATGGAGAGAGGGGATGGAGAGAGGGAGGGATGGAGAGATGGAGAGGATGGAGAGAGAGGAGAGATGGAGGATGGAGAGATGGGAGGATGGAGAGATGGAAGATGGAGATGGAGGGATGGAGGAGATGGGAGGGAGGATGGAGGATGGGAGGGATGGAGAGATGGGAGGGATGGATGAGGATGGGAGGGATGGAGTGGAGAGATGGAGAGAAGAGAGATGGGAGGGATGGAGAGATGGAGTGGAGTGAGAGGATGGAGGATGGAGGATGGGATGGGAGGGATGGAGAGATGGGAGGATGAGAGGGAGAGATGGAGGAGAGGAATGGGAGGGATGGAGAGATGGGAGGGATGGAGAGATGGAGATGAGGTAGAGATGGGAGATGGATGAGGATGGGAGAGGAGGGAGAGATGGAGGATGGAGAGAGATGGAGGGATGAGTGGAGGATGGGAGGGATGGAAGTGGGAGATGGGAGGGATGGAGAGATGGGAGGGATGGAGATGGGTGGGAGGATGGGAGGGATGGAGAGATGGAGGTGGAGGATGGAGGGATGGATGGGAGGGATGGAGAGATGGGAGGATGGAGGATGGAGAGATGGGAGGGATGGAGAGATGGGAGGGATGGAGAGATGGAGAGATGGGAGATGGGAGGGATGGGGTAGATGGAGTGGGAGGAGGATGGGAGGGATGGAGAGATGGGAGGGATGGAGAGATGGGAGATGGAGGGATGGAGAGATGTGGAGGGATGGAGAGATGGGAGGGATGGGAGATGGGAGGATGGGAGGATGGAGGGATGATGGAGAGATGGAGGAGGGTGGAGGAGGGAGGGATGGGAGGAGATGGGAGGGATGGGAGAGATGGAGGGATGGGGATGAGGGATGGAGAGATGGGAGGGGATGGAGAGATGGGAGGGATGGATGGAGAGGATGGGAGGGAGAGATGGAGAGATGGGAGGAGATGGAGGATGGAGGAGATGGAGAGGGATGGAGAGATGGAGGGATGGAGAGATGGGAGGGATGGAGAGATGGGAGGGATGGAGAGATGGGGGATGGAGAGATGGGGAGGGAGGGATGGAGAGTGGGAGGGATGGGAGAGAATGGGAGGGATGGGAGATGGAGGGATGGAGGATGGGAGGAGATGGAGAGATGGGAGGGATGGAGAGTGGAGAGGAGGATGGGAGTGGGAGGGATGGAGAGAGTGGGAGGGATGGAGAGATGGGAGGGATGGAGAGATGGGAGGGATGGAGAGATGGGAGGGATGGAGAGATGGAGGGAGTGGAAAGATGGGAGGGATGGAGAGATGGAGAGATGGGAGGGATGGAGAGATGGGAGGGATGGATGGAGGGATGGAGAGATGGGAGGGATGGAGAGATGGAGGAATGGAAAGATGGGAGGGATGGAGAGATGGAGAGATGGGAGGGATGGATGGAGGGATGGAGAGATGGGAGGGATGGAGAGATGGAGGAAATGGAAAGATGGGAGGGATGGAGAGATGGAGAGATGGGATGGATGGATGGAGGGATGGAGAGATGGGAGGGATGGAGAGATGGAGGAATGGAAAGATGGGAGGGATGGAGAGATGAGAGATGGGAGGGATGGATGGAGGGATGGAGAGATGGAGAGATGGGAGGGATGGATGGAGGGATGGAGAGATGGGAGGGATGGATGGAGGGATGGAGAGATGGAGAGATGGGAGGGATGGAGAGATGGGAGGGATGGATGGAGGGATGGAGAGATGGAGGGATGGAGAGATGGGAGGGATGGAGAGAGGGATAGAGGGATGGAGGAATGGATAGAGGGATGGAGGGATGGCGGGATGGATAGAGGGATGAGAGATGGATAGAGGGATGGAGAGATGGGAGGGATGGATAGAGGGATGGAGGGATGGAGGGATGGAGGGAGGCAGAAGAGAGATAGTATTAGACAGTGAATGTGTAATCATAACAACGTTTCAAGACTGTGTTAGCTCAATGTTAGCCTGCTGAGGTAAAGCCTAGGCATTACCTCGGGGAGCTAACACAAGTCTCCAAGTCTCAGGCAAGGTTATTCATCACGCGAGCATTGTTTACACACAGAACCACCTCCATTGCGTTTTCTACTACAGTACCAGCGGCGATGGCCCCGACCAGGGGCTGGAGGGTCACTGCCCAGGGGTAGTTCCAGGCCCCGATGATGAGGACCACTCCCAGGGGCTCCGGCTGGATGTACACCTGTGACAAGATGTACACTATGTTTTTAATCTATGATCCCCTGTCCTTCATATGTTCTGTGTTGTATTTTATGTCCTGTAATGAGATTTAATGACGCAAATACATTTAGGTGGAAACAGACAATAAGGTCCTATGGTCACAAGCAGTGCACAATGTAGGGAATAAGCTGCCATTTGGGACCCCTAGATGTTTATCTTGTCTTACCTCGTCTAAGATGGTGAGGGGGCTCTTCTCTACAGGCCGAGGGGCAGCCCAGTCTGCTAACCTCTCCACAGCCACGTTGATCTCCCCTTCCAGACCCAGTGTCTCAAATAGCTCTGTGCTGTGTTCAGACTGCAGCAGGATCAGGACACACACCAATGCACCAATCAGTCAGACAGTCATATTTATATAGCCATTTTTACAAAAACATTGTCACAGAGTCCTCTACAGTAGGCTAACACATAGTTATAAGTGGGTTATAATTAGATTTCCAGACGACATATTAATTTATTCTAAAAACTACTTATAAACCCTTTACAACCCCCTTAAAGGATACCTTTACGTAAATTGTAAATTAAACGTATGTCCCAAATGGCACCCTATTCCCTTTATAGTGCACTACTTTTGACCGGAGCCTATGGCCTCTGGTCAAAAGTAGTGCACTATAAAGGGTATTGATTGTCGTTTGGGACGCACCTCAACACTCACCTTGTTGAGGTCCTTCTTGACAGCGTCTGCAATGTCCTTGCGTCTCTCTGTGATGAATCGGTGCAGGCTCTTAAGCTGGTGAACTCTGAACTTCAGGGGTTTCGACTTACCGGTCTGAAAGGCCCTCCTTGCCCTCTCTACCACCAGCTGCTCCCGAGACATACTGCTACCTACTACCGTACTGGGCAGGGAGAGGTAGGACAGGGACACCAAGGGAATGTATTATTGGGTTTGTAGCTACATGTCGTGTGGTACCGAGGTACAGCGTGTGCGTGTGTGTGTGTGTGTGTGTGTTATCAAAACAGAGATAAGGATGACTATATGTCATATTTCTACCCATGCATAACTATAGGATAGGAATGTCAAAGTGTACTCGATAAAGCCAGTAGGCTAATAGAAGGAATCAACAAGAATGCAATAGTATACGTCTATGCAGGTGTAATACACACTATTGGTAGGTAGGGATCTTGACCAGGATATGCTTTAGGCACTTGATTCTAAAACAACGACTAGCATCACGAGACTGTATAATCCTGGAGTTTTGCCATTCAAATAAGGGGCTGAGCTAATAGCCAACGTCAGCTAACTGGCTAACAGCTAACAACAACAAAAAACATTGCATTACAGAACCGTTTCACATTCGAAGGCAACTAAATGGCAAACCCAGGTTATCATGTTTATTACCTTGTAAGTCAGCAGAGAAATTATGTATATTTTTGAACGAACGTTGCACTTCAGTTGACCCCAATAGAGCAACACTGTAGCAGCTCACCTATCAGTACAGTAGCTTTCGTCCTGTTATCTGAAACAATTATAACAGTATTACCACGTCATCAGAGGGGGAAGGGCCACCACAGCAAACACCATGGCGATTGGTTAAACAATATGACAATCCAACTCAAAGATGCAAGGTTTGTCCAATGACAAGTGTAGATCGTTTAACTCTGCCCAGTTGGTAAATAGGCGTCGTCTATTTGATGGTGCCACAGATTATAGAACAAAGAGGCAGATGTTTCACCGGATGTATATATCTTTAGCATCCGGTTGGAATTTCCACTCCCAAATATGGTGAGGAGAGGAAGCCCAGTCAGAGAATAAGAGGCGAAGCGAGAGGTTTCACTCTCGCCAAAATCTGTCCAAAATAAACCCAATACGTTTCCACAGTAGCGTTGCGTAGGTAAAATCACTGGGAAAGCCAAGCAAGAAAAAAAAGAATCTATTCAACCTATGTGTTGTGATAATTGTGTTGTTTCCTCTATAATCTGTTAGTTCATATGCCTTGCCACCGTGATATATAGGACTAAGGCAATGACAATAAGACACACAGTGGAAGAATACATTCAACCACACCTTTGTTTCATCACAAAACCGGAGAGCAACATATGTCCAGTGAAGTCCACAAAGCATATTGCATGTAACGAACAGTTACATGACCTACAGCATGGTCTGGCAAGTTCATGTTTACGACATTTTCGGACCACTAAACAACTATTGATTTAGTACCACAGAGAGTTACCCGCAAGTCGCAAAGAAAACAGGAGCTGCCTCCACTATTCCAGCACCATTTCAACTTTAACATTTCAACATCATCAAATCACCTATGCTTAGTCTAATACAGTGACAACTAAAGATACCAGAAACAAGTTAGTCCAATCAACATAAGCTAAATATGATGTGGCTGTCCATGGTGCTGATTTCTCTCTCTGTGTGTGTGTGTGTGTGTGTGTAGTTATGTGTGTGTGTGTATGCGTTCATGCAAGTAGAAAAAACAGGACTCACCCTACATGTAGAGAAACGCCAATGCCATCCTCCTCTCTTTCATGTTGACGAAACGGTTTATGACTCTGTCATACAGTACACGCTTTTAGTTTTTGTTGTCCTAGGCTACCTGGCTAAAATGCTTTCTCGCTAGCCTAGCTTCCTTTCATGGGCAACGATGAGCCAGCTAGTTAAGATTAGCGTACTACATCTAGCTACATATTGAACTTCCATCCTCTCAGGCCAGAGGCACAATGAATGAATTTATGGTTGGATCAGAATTGCCGTTATAATCATTGGCCAGTACGGAGAATTAAGTAAAACCACAAGTCCAAATCCCTATCTCCATCCATGGCAAATTTAGGGAAGGGCCAATTTTAGCTAGCTAGCTAGCCACTGGAGGACAATGACACAATGAGATCAAACAATTCAAGTTATTTCTGTCAATGACGTTTTGTTTTTGATGTGTTGTGATTGGTGTGAAGCCAAATCCAAACTGGCTTCCCTTGACACTTTTCTTTGGTGCACGAGGACCATTCACAGTTGAGCTCATTCAATTTAGATCAACGCTGAGGTCAAATGCTCACTGGCTTCCCTTGCATTCAATGCTACATAGAGACAGAGGGGGCGCTGTTTCGCTCGCTCTGATGCTTTCTCCTGGGAGATACATTCAGCCTCTTGCAATTCGAAGGAAAATTATGAAACACAGAGAGACTAAAGATAAATTATTTCATATGTTTTTTTAGTTTTAGTTTTAGAAAAACAAATTGGTAAGCCTGGCTTCCTTTGGCATCCATTAATACACCCCACTGCATTTTTATGGGCTTATTTTGAACCTAAGCTTGTCGCCCGCCTTCCTGCCTTTGGGACAACGACTCTCATTGGTAAGGCGGAGACATGAGCATCTCGTCATTATACAGCGCCTTCGGAAAGTATTCAGACGCCCTTGACTTTTTCCACATTTTGTTACGTTACAGCCTTATTCTAAAATTGATTAAATTCATTTTTTCTCTCATCAATCTACACACAATACCCCATAATGACAAAGCAAAAACAGGTTTTTAGAATTTCTTGCCAATTTATTACAAATAAAAAAACTTAAATATCACATTTACTTAAGTACTGAGTAAAGGGTCTGAATACTTTATTGAAGTACCTTTGGCAGCGATTACAGCTTCGAGACTTCTTGGGTATGACACTACAAGCTTGGCACATCTGTATTTGGGGAGTTTCTCCCATTCTTCTCTGCAGATCCTCTCAAGATCGGTCAGGTTGGATGGGGAGCGTCGCTGCACAGCTATTTTCAGGTCTCTCCAGAGATGTTCGATCGGGTTGAAGTCCGGCCTCTGGCTGGGCCACTCAAGGACATTCAGAGACTTGTCCCGAAGCCACTCCTGCGTTGTCTTGGCTGTGTGCTTAGGGTTGTTGTCCTGTTAGAAGGTGAACCTTCGCCCCAGTCTGAGGTACTGAGCGCTCTGGAGCAGGTTTTCATCAAGGATCTCTCTGTACTTTGCTCCGTTCATCTTTCCCTCGATCTTGACTAGTCTCCCAGTCCCTGCTGCTGAAAAACATCCCCACAGCATGATGCTGCCACCACCATGCTTCACCGTAGGGATGGTGCCAGGATTCCTCCAGACGTGACGCTTGGCATTGAGGCCAAAGAGTTCAATCTTGGTTTCATCAGACCAGAGAATCTTGTTTCTCATGGTCTGAGAGTCTTAAGGTGCCTTTTGGCAAACTCCAAGCGGGCTGTCATGTGCCTTTTACTGAGGAGTGGCTTCCGTCTGGCCACTCTACCATAAAGGCCTGATTGGTGGAGTGCTGCAGAGATGGTTGTCCTTCTGGAAGGTTCTCCCATCTCCACAGAGGAACTTTGGACCTCTGCCAGAGTGACCATCTGGTTCTTGGTTACCTCCCTGACCAAGGCCCTTCTCCCCCGATTGCTCAGTTTGGCCGGGCGGCCAGCTCTAGGAAGAGTCTCGGTGGTTCCAAACTTCTTCCATTTAAGAATGATGGAGGCCACTGTGTTCTTGTGGACCTTCAATGCTGCAGAAATGTTTTGGTACCCTTCCCCAGATCTGTGCCCCGATACAATCCTGTCTCGGAGCTCAACGGACAATTCCTTCGACCTCATGGCTTGGTTTTTGCTCTGACATGCACTGTCAACTGTGGGACCTTATATAGACAGGTGTGTTCCTTTCCAAATCATGTCCAATCAATTGAATTTACCACAGGTGGAGTCCAATCAAGTTGTAGAAACATCTCAAGGATGACCAATGGAAACAGGATGCACCTGAGCTCAATTTCGAGTCTCATAGTAAATGGTCTGAATACTTATGTAAATAAGGTATTTCTGTTTTTATGTTTAATACATTTGTAAAAATGTCTAAAAACCTATTTTTTGCTTTGTCATTATGAGGTATTGTGTGTCGATTGATGAGGGTTTATATATATTTTATCCATTTTAGAATAAGGCTGTAATTTAACAAAATGTGGAAAATGTCAAGGGGTCTGAATACTTTCCGAAGGCATAATAGTTGTGATTTTTTTGGGGGGAGGGAACTCAGTCGGGGTCTCAACTTACTGTTGAGAGTTAGAATAGTAGAATACACAAGGTGCAAATTCGAAATTTGGTTGTGCATCAGCAATTTTTCAGTCTAGGATTGCAAAATTCCGTGATCTTTCATTAAGGGTTGCAAAATTCCGCCCCCCCCCCTTTGATTTTGCTAGTAACTCTCACTCAGATATCATTCACATTTCATAAGTCATGGCAAAATGTGTAGAATTGCTAAGCTAGAAGTGGGATGGCGGCTGTGAGGCCATCAGAACATATGGCCCCAACGTGTGAGGGCATCTGAGGTTGGTCGAAGCACGGGGACGTGCCTTCCCGTTTGTAGGGGGCAGTGTAGCGATCCTCGCTACATGAGCCAAGTTACAATTAGTTATCTAGCCAGCTTATCAGCACCAGCTTGGTTTCTATCAGGTTGTTTAGTGAACAAGATATAAAAAATGTTCACTTCATTTTTGAGATTAGAACAACTTTCCAATGATAAATATAGCTAGTTTCCTACAAAAACAGAATCATGCAATAAATCACAAAAAATTGCTTACTCCCTGCAACAGCAGACTGGTCAAATGATCCTTTTAGAGCAGCAGGTTTGAAATTAAATGTCAGCTCCGCCCTCGCCATTGAGTCAACCAACCACATTAATTATTCCTTTGGGGCAGAGCTGCCTTAATGCCGCGTTCACATTATGTAGGGAACTTGTAAATAGATGGATCTTGCGTTCCTTCTGAGCTCCGAGCAGGTGAACGCTCCAAGTAGTTCCTCCGAAGTAGAGAAGTCGTTCTTCCGATCACTCCGACAGGATGTGAACCGCCCATAGCACTTGCTAAGCCTGTCA